TTCTGGCTCTAGTATTTGGTTTCTTCAATAATTTCCCAGTATGGAAATATTAACCAAACCCTGAACTTTTTAATCTCTCTGTTTCTAGTCTCGTGATCTCCCTCATATGCTAATTTTAAAAATGTGCCTGCGTATTAATAGAACCCTACCCGAGGTGCGGAGCCTCTCTTTTGAAGCTTGATTTTATTTTTGATGCTTATAACAGGTGTTGGTTTAATAGGTTTGCTGTATTACAGCAGGCTTTTTTTTTTTTTCTTTCCTTTTCGTGAGCCCAGCCAGCTCTGTAAGCTGACACGACATGAAGGCCAAGCATGTGACTTCTCCCTGCCTTTAGCCTTGCTTCACACCAAACATTTGGGCTGCAGGCTCCCAGCAGCCAAGGCAGCCTTAGTTCAAGCTTTGTCTAAACCAGGAGGTTTTGCGCTGATTGTATTTGTATGGGTCCAACCAAAGCCCCTCGCACATTCCCATCTGAGGGTCTGCTTGCTTTGATTTTCCGCTGTCAGCTCTCTAATGGGCAGCTGCTGAGGGGAAGTGAACAACAAAGGAGCGTGTTTGTGCTGCTCTCTGCATCGATTTCACACCAGTAGTTTGAAGCCCCGGTCTAAATTAAACTGATTAGCGTTCTCCAAAGGACAGGCTTGCTGCAAAGAGGAAGGTGAATTCTTCTCCTATTAGGTCCGTTGGAAAATGTTTCACAGCCTGTTTACCAAATAAATATTCAGAAAGAGGCTTCGAATGAGGAAACCCACTGGGATTAAAGTGTAACTTTACCTCTAAAATACAAGCTGAGATTCTTGGAAACGCTGCAAGCTTTTGACTTTGCGCCACCTGTTGTTTTCCTGCCCCCCCCCCCCCCCCCCCTCCCTCCCGACTTAGAGCAAACCCAAACACGCTTTGGCTTCGCTGGAACATTTTCTTGTTTTTCTGTCTCGCAGCAGCCCGGAGGAGCGCAGAGAGAGTGCGTTCGCTTCCTGATGTGGTCCTCACGGGCTTGGTTCAGCAAAGAGCTGCCTGAGGTTAATCCCAAATCTCCTGTAACGCTGAGGGGTCTGTTCAAGAGCGGTGCAAAGCGCAGGGGCTGAGAGGCTGCCGTACCTCGGGGTGCTGCCCGGGGGTGCGGGTGGGTTAAGTGGTGGTGGCTGGAGAGCAGCTTCCCTGCTCTCCTCTCTCTCCTCTCTTCACTTGCAGCTGTAGTTGGTGCTGACCTGAGGGTGAAGCAGTTCCTGAACAAGTGCCATATGTAAGCAGCTCGCAGTCTGAAAGTAATCTGTTGCTGACTTTGAGTTACCTTAGTTTGGCTCTAAGATGTTACGGTTCTGCATTAGCTGCAAATGGGGTGTCTCTGGGAATGAGGTTGGGTACGAGCTGGGAAGTTCAACTGTTTTAGCCAGATCCTCCCATATTTGTGAGCAAACCCAAATAGACTTGGATGAGCTCCTTAGTTCCTATGGTTTGTTTTTTTTTCACTTGAGCTGCTTTCACTCTAAATTCTTAGTCCTTGATGAAGGCAGTCCGCATCATCCTACTCTGGGAGTATGCTCCCATACAGATGGGTAAACCAGAGGTAGAGAGGGGTTAAGAAACTTGCCCAAGGCAGATGAGTCAGTGCCAGGGCTGGGAATAGAAACTAAGAAACTTGGCTCTCGCTCCAGGCTCTAATTGCTCAATCTCACATTGAAGCCCTGTCATCATACACTCTTGAGGTAACACTGGCTGAAGTGAGACAGGGAAAACGGTTTCCAGGCTGTGATATCTAAGGAAAGGGGAGAGGAAAAGACACCTGGAGGCAAATTGGTTATGGAAGCACCGATAATTTGTGCTTTAAAGCCTGGTTTCAGCAATTGGTACTAAAATCTGATCTGTCACCTTTGAAGCTAAGGAAGTGTAAACTAAGGAGCTAGTTGGGAAAAATCCAGCCCTTTTCCAGTCACTGCTAAAGGGGAGAGGCAAAGTCATAATGTCACTGGTCCTTTTTTTCTGTAAAACACTCTGCAATGATATTGGGAACAAAGGCAGACGAGCTGAAAGGATCCAAGTAATAACAGGAAGGGTTAAATCCCATTTCAGCTCTTACTGAAAAATGAAAAATAAAATGTAATCAAGCTAGTAAAAGGTTTGGACGATGTTGCGTTCATATCACATGCTGTGTATAGGAAAAGTCAGCCGGGCTGGTTTTGTTTGAAGTGCAGTGCTTTGAGAGGGTGCAGGGCTTTGCAGCAAACTGTCTGACATTCCCCAGCTGGGACTGGCCGGGGATGGTGTTTGGAGCTGAGAGTTACATTTGGAGTCAGCCCATGTTTGAAGGAGACAGAGGGAGAGAAAGGAGCCTGTTTTTTTCCTGTGTGAAATAGTGCATCCATCTAATCTGCCAGCTGTAGCACATGAAAAGCAAGACGCAAACGGACAGAAGTCACCTGGAAACTGTGAACATGGCTCAAACAAAATAGTTCTTTCCTGTCCTTTTCTTCCCTTCTTAAAGTCTGTCATCTGGGATGGGCTGGGAGATCTGGCAGGCGGGCTGATTGGATATATGTTGAGCAACTAAAGCACAGAAATATTAATACTCAAAAAAAATAACATTGGCTTCTGAAGAGCATTTCATGTCCAAACTCACTCTGTGCTCTCACTCCGGTGAAGACTTAGCTGCCCTGCACAGGAATTGTCAGGTAATTTATAGATTCTTCACGTTCATTTGTACAAGCCTTCATTTCCTGTTAATTTACGGCCAGATTCATCTCGGCCATCACAGCCTAGATGAGATCAGAGTTGAACTCACAGGTCCCGCTTCAAGAGAGCTACAGAAAATAAGCCTGGGGTTTGCTTTCACTTATGTCTGTGTTGAGGTACTTTCCTGAATCAGGGTCACACACACATTTAATGGACTGTCTTATTTTGAGGAGGAAAAAAGATTGAAATTTTTGGAACTTACTGATTCTAATAATCAAGTCCTTGCAAAAGAAACTAGTCCTTGGGGAAAAGAAATCCCCCTCGCCCATGTGTTCAATTTATGGAGGTCACAAAATTCTGGGTATAGTGAGTTTTCCTGTATTTTAGTCACACTATTAGCATAAATTCACTGGAGCTCTGTTCCACTAGGTGCCATGGATGTGAAAATTCAGTCTATTCCTAGCTGTAAATGAATATTGGTTGCTTGGATAGTAGCCATATCATTGCCTTTTATACAGTTGGTGGTTGCAGAGACCTGTGTACCTATAACCTGTGGAATAACCAGTTCGGTAACATAGGTTAATGACTTTCCTTTGATTTTCCTGGTGCCTTTTTGCACCACGTTAGCAGTGCATTGCTATAGTGGTGTAGAATTTGTCCTTAATGATTTGTGAGCCTGCATTGAATTAATTAAGTAGTGTTTAAACTCATTAGTCAAAGCAGCATTTCTGCGAATGTTTCCCCAGTGTAAGCAAGAATCATGTGCTGGCTGTTTAAAGAGTGAGTCTCCAGAAGGCAAATTGTTCTGGGGATGCAGTTTTCACCCTCTTCCTGTTACAGACACCAGCAAATGTGGTGGTGAAACGATCTGGTTTTAATAACACGGGGGGTAAAGGAGCAGATCGCGGTGCAGGGAGCAGATCCCTTGCCACGTCCTATTGGTATTTTCTTTTGAGGGGAGAGGCTTTCTTTGAAAGGGGCTTGTCTGAACCCCTGGGAGAGCTTGAAATGGAGGTGAAGCTGGAGAAGACGGGCTCCCAGACACCCATCAGCTTCAGTGCCTGGAAGGCTGTGGTCAGCTAACCCGTCAGTTTTTTGTTTCAAAGAGCTGATGCTTTGCCAGGAGAGCTGGGACGTCCTGGTTTGCATTCAAGAGTGCTTTCACTGGCTGCTGTCTCCTCTTCTGGTTACTCAGTGGGTAGCCGGCCGGATTAAGGCACAGTACTTGTCTGAACCCTCTCTGCTATCTCTTATTATTCAGCAAGTTCTCAAGTGTCTGGTGAGCGTCTCTGTTTGGAGTGCCTCACTCACAGCCTTGCCAGTAATACCAGTGACTGGTCTAAATTCACATCAGGCATGTGCTCTACTTCTTGTGACTAATGTGCAATGTATTTTTTTTTAATTGGTTACTGTTCTCTCTACTGATTCAGGCCAGAAAGGAGTCAGAGGAAAGAACTCAGGGGATTTTTAGTTAGACCTTGTTGAGTACAGATCAAGTCTAGAGGTATTTAACTGTTTGATGGCTGTGGAAACTCTGAGGATAGTTTGTAGTACCTTCTCTAAAGAAAAACATTAGATTGAATCCTTTAGGCTGGTACTGGTAAGGTAGCAAACACAGGTGACTGTTATAGGCTCTGATCCTGCAGTCGGTGCTGGGGCAGAGCACTGGCACTGCACAGTTGTCCTAATGGCACAGAGGGACAAAGGAGGCAAAAGATGCGGAAATGTTTGCAAGCCCTCTTACAGTATTTCTGTGCATTACAAATCATTGTGATGTAGTCCAAAGCTGAGAGTTTTCAGAAGAATCCTTAGGAATTAAGGAAACAGTGTTTTGTAACTTCTGCTGAGATTGTATTTACTTGTCAGTTTCCTGCTCTGAAAATCCTATGCTCTATGTAAAACATTGGCAGTTTGCTTAAACCGTTGATCAGCACTCCTTGGCTGCGGGATTAAAATCCAGCCCTGCAGTCCTTGCATGTAACAAATCTACTCTGGAAGTGCAGGTTTGTAGGAGACTGAGCCCAAATTACTGGAAGAAAAACTGATGAATGGAGTCAATAGTTCTGTAGAAGGGAAAAGTCTTGTACCACACCAGAAAAAGTGTCTGGAAGCTTGCAAATATCTGTGAGCTAGACTTTCTAACCATAGGAACAGCATGGGGATTAGGGAATATCTTTCTGGTGTGGGTTTCTCCTCAAACAGCTGTTGAAGAAGCACTATAAGTCTGAGTGTGTAAACTCAGGGGCCAGCCTGTGGGCCTGCTGTGGCCTCAGATATTCTGTTTTTTTAAGCGAACTAAATTGTCTCCATTTCTCCTCTGACTGTTTCAGGCATCACAACAGGATCCGCAGTATTGAAGCAAGTCAACTGAAGCCCTATGTTACCCTGGAAACGTTGGACCTGAGTTTCAATGACATCACGGAAATCCGAAACGGCTGCTTTCCGCAGGGACTTCATATAAAGGAGCTGTGAGTTTTTCTTGTTGGGAATAGCTTTTGTTGAGTTACCACAGCAGAGAAAAGGGCCTCAAACCTCCTTTAAAAAAAGGAGAGTGAATGAACATACAAGGTATGGGGTTATTCGTCAGGATTTTAAGTGTAGAGGAGAATTAGAATGCAGCACGTTGTCCCTACTGTTGGGTTATTTTTTGAGCTCTGTCTTTTTGGTTTCTGATGTTTCTGTAAAGAATGCAGATTATTATTAATTGTGTTGCGTGGGAATGTTGCAACAGAGAAAAGGTATCATGCGTCCTTCAGGTCTGGGTGTCTTTACAGCTGGAAACCTAGAAGCCAGAAAAATTCTGTGTCTCTTCCCCACAGAGAAGTATATATGCTGTTTCCCAGATCAGCCCATGTACATCTGGAAGAGGGGAGGGGGAATGACTATTTCATCATTAAAATGGCTATTGAATGTTAAGAACAGAAATCTCTCCGGTTATTTGAAGAAAACCAGGGGTTAAGCAGAGTAACTGCCTCCCAATAGAGATTTTTGCCTACTCGGGGAAACATAAAATAATCTGTGTTTTCGGTACCTTTGAAGAGGTGCAGACAGATAATCTTCTTGCATTAAAGTTTACACCAAAGTTTCTGCCTCTGGTTGTAAGAGGATATAAGAGAGTGGTGTTATAACTGATGGTTGCCTGTTAACCTGTTAAACAGCCTCTGAGGCTAAGACTAGGGTCCAGGTAAGAAAGAGCCCTGGGAGAGATGCTGAAGGGAAAATGGAGAATGAATAGAGTCATCCTGAACTGGAATATTCTCCAGTTTCTGGATTCCACTCCCAATTGCCTTGCTGAAGTAGGAGGGCCTGAAGAAGCTCTTGGAAAGCGTGCAGCATTTCTCCACGTTCATCATGTGGCTCTGGGAAAGGCACTGTGCTCTTTGTGGAGCCAGAAATCCAACTGATTTGAAGGCACCTCTCTAATTTCACCAGCCTGTCTGGAGACCAACCAAATGCTGATAAAAGGAGATTTCTGACAGAACTGTTCATTTTTCTGCTGTGATTTATTGCAGCTACCTGGGGAGCAACAGAATCAGCACCCTGGAGCCTGGTGCTTTTGATAGTCTGTCACGGTCCCTGCTAACACTTCGCCTGAGTAAAAACAGGATCCCTCAGCTTCCTGTCAAGGCATTCAGGCTACCCAGGCTAACACAACTGTGAGTACAAATGTGCACTTTAATTAAGCTCAGCCACACTTTATGGAGACAAAACATCCCTGAGGATAAACACACTAAATGTCACCCTTTCTCACCTGCTATCTATAAAACTTAGAATACACTATGCAGTAGTTCTCTGCCAGCACCTAGTAAAACACGTTGGGAGAGGGTCCTTTTTGTCTTGTAGCTATTGGCTTTTCAGGCCATTCTTTTGATAAGGTGGGAAGGGAGGGATGTTGCAGCAGATACCAGCATCTTGTGCACTTGACAGCGTAAGACAAATCCATTCCCTTAAAAGCTGTTGGGGTCTGTAGCGGAAGAGAGGTTTGGAAAATGTTTCTGTTGCAAGTGACAGAGATCAGCTACCATGGTAGTTTTTCAAGACCACACAGGTATCTTTGTGTGGCCATAAAAAAGTAATGACGGAAGGTTGTTAAACGGTGCGGTGATACTTGGGCAGAGAAAATAGCACTCTAGATGAGTTAACACACACATCGTTGTTGTCCTGCCTGCGGTCCATATGGCAGGAGCTGCATGGGGATGCATAGACATCTGCGGCTATAAATATGCTTTATGTGTAAAATAGTAGCACTAATGATTTAGCTTTTCCTTTCTCCTGCTGTTGGAGAAATGGGCCCAGCCTGAGGCCTATTGCAGTCTTTCCATCAAATTTGATAGGTAAAAGGTCAACCTCTGCCTGTTAACATAAAATCTACAAAAGGTGTTGGAACTTACACCTCTGACAACCTCTTGATTGAGAGACAAATCCTTAAACCAAGATGTGTCTAAGGAACGGGTGTACATTTGTGCTTGCATGCATGCAGGAGGATTTATAGCCAATTTGGGATCGAACAGTGTGACACAATAGCGTACACATCTTAAAAGTCTGTTGCCTCTCAGCTGGAAGTTACTGTCCATTGACTGAGAGCTTGTAATCCACTGTGTCTGCATCATGTGCAAAACTGTAATAAGAGTGAGGGTCAACTCAGTCTGTTTAGGAACACAGTTTTCACTGGAAATTGGAGTAATTGGTACTCTTAAAGACAATCTCACAGCTGGTTGTTTAACCCTATAGGTAAACATGATGTGTTGCAGAATTTGTATACAGTTCTTCTGGCAAAGCGTAGTTTGCTAATAGCCTAGGAAGTGCAGTAACGCAAGAGTCTTCAGGCCTTCAAACTTTTAAATTGCTTACTTGACTTTAATTACACTCAACTTGCGTGCAAGTTCAACACTGTTTTTTTTAGGCAGTTAAAAAGTAAGCTTAAAGTTTCTATGGCTTCCTCATCTTTTCCGAATTAAGTTCTTGATGTTTTAACCTCCACCACTTTCTTCAACATAAACACTGTGGAGGGAACTACCCTTAGGTTAGTCTTGTACATGCAGAAAGGTTCAGAAAGAAATCCATTTTCAAAGCTTTATCTTCAGCTTTAGTGCATTGCATCAATGAAGTTTTCCACTGACTTTATGGAACTGTGTTTTTACCTGGTACGTCTGGGTCTAGCAATCCATAAGACTGTTTCATATAGGTTGGTAAAGTGTGGTGTGACGATATTCATATTGCCATTCATAAGAATGGTATTCCCAAAATTTAGGATTCCCTCCCTACCCGGGGGGGGAATTTAATGAACCGAGTTGGAGATACACAAAATACTAAGACTGCCGTGTTATTGGAAACAACTTGTTTCACTCTATTAGTTTCTTATAATAGGAAAAAAAGTTAAGTATGTCAGGGGAACTGAAACCTTTCCTTTCAAACTTAGCCAGAAAGTTTCCTCTTGGGCTCACAGTTCTTATGGCACCCGCTTGTTTCAGAGTACATTTTTACCGGGCGATTGCAAGTCTTGTAAAAACAATGGTTTGTAAGGGAACTAGTGCTGGTGTTTAACTGTATTGGTTCAAATAGTGTCTCTGCTTGAGAAGAGATGACATGCAAAACTTGATGAAAAGGATAAAGGGCTTAAAAGAAATGCAGAGAGAGGAGGGATGAAGAGGAATTGCTGCACTGTCTCTGTTATTTCTCTATAGTGAAAATCTGTCCCAGGGTGAGTTTATTTAAGCGATCACACCCAGCTGACTTCCCTGGCTAGCTCTGGGATTGAAAGTTTCCGGTGAGCTTCAGCTCTCTCCTGGGAACCGTTGACAGAGGAGTTGTTGGCATTGCTGTCCCCATTGTATGCTGCACAGATGATTTCGTGAGAAAGGACTGGGATTTAATAAACTTGTATGGCTTTGATGATTTTAGGGAGCTGAACCGGAATCGCATCCGCCTGATTGAAGGCCTGACATTCCAGGGACTGGACAGCTTGGAAGTCCTGAAACTCCAGCGCAACAACATAAGCAAATTGACTGATGGGGCTTTCTGGGGTCTAGCCAAGATGCAAGTTCTGTAAGTTGGAGAGATGGGTTCTTTTCCCTTAAAAGCCTAGACTTCATCTGCTGTCATGTCCTTCTCTGCATTTTAGCAAGGAGTCCCATCGGAGACTGTGGGCACCTGTGCCAGTCCTCATGCTTCTTTCTGTTTCCCGCATGCACAGAGCTCTGCCATGCTACAGCAGCTTCTGTTTAGTTGACCCACAGTTTACTAAAGCTCATTGCTTTACCAGGTGTTCAATAAAAAAAGTCCTGTTTTTCAAGCTGTGGCAGTATTCCTTTGAAAGTTTGATGATTTGAACATTCAGTAAGATCTCAATTGCTCTTTAAATCAAAGCTCATCTCACTTCTGCAAATTGTTTTGACTGATACATGGAAATTCTGTGTTGCAGATGTGATTATTCTGCTTCTTATTCTACCTAGAAACTAAGCTGGCCTGTCTCAGTGGTGTGTTCTTTCCATACAAGAGAACGAATTGAACAGGCATTGCAGATAAATGCTTGAAACTTCCTTGGCTTTCAAGTGTGTTTGCAAGGTCACAAGTGATCAGGGCAGCATGTTTCTGGATGCTGCTGTCACACAACTGAAACTCTGCAAATATAAACTTGAATGCGATGCTTTAAGCCCAGTTTACTTGTAAGTGGAGCATATCTCTGGACTCTCAGCTCATTCTGGTCATTTCCTTTGTGTTGTCCTTGAATTTCTATCCTTCACCTACCCAAGAAATGCCCACGCACGCATGTATCCACATGGATATGTAGAAAGGTGTGTAAGAATGGCTAAAATCCCAGTCCTTGTTGGAAATTCTTCAGCTTTTAACCAGTGCTGCTTATCTGTCAATTCCTTCTCATTTTTTTCCGCAGCCACCTGGAGTATAACAGCCTGACAGAAGTAAACAGTGGCTCTCTCTATGGCCTTTCATCTCTGCACCAGCTTCACCTCAGTAACAACTCCATATCCCGCATCAACCCCGATGGCTGGAGCTTCTGTCAGAAGCTGCATGAGCTGTAAGTTGGTTTCTGTTCGGTTGGTTGTGCAGGGTTTAGAAAGGGGAGTAAGGATTCTTCCCAATCATACGGTGTACAGCTTCTGCTGTATCAACCTGTAGAAATGCAGGAATTGCAGCCTCCTAAGTGATGCCCTTTTTATTCATGATGTTGTGACCTTCAGAGCACCTGATTAAAATAACCAGAAACAAAGACTAGAACACACTAAAAGTATACAGTGCCAAAAGACCTGGAGAGTTTGTGATCTGCGGCTTGCCAATGCTTTTTAGCTGGCTAGTAACAAGACACATACACCTTGCCATATAATGACTGTGCAGCTTGAAGGAAGTTTTGCTGTATCCTCTGCATTTACAAAGAACAGTCGTATTTTTAACCAGCAGAGATTTGGCCCTTTAAAGGCGTTTCTCCCTGTTTCTGCTGTTTACACTTTACCCTTCCTGTAGGGCTCAGTTGTTTAAAAGTAAATACATTGACTTTGCTCTCCTGAGATTTCCAGCTGTGAATACAGTCACTCTGATAAATGAAAGAAATCCTTGCTGCTGAGGACAGCCCCATAAGGATGTCTTTTCGGCCTGTGGCACTGCTTAATGCCTTTCTGAAGGGACACACATGGATGCTTGCAGTATTTACAGAAGTAGCTGTCATCCCCTCGGTGGGACTGTGAAAGATTCACTTTTTTCTCCGGAGAACTTGACACATGTGGTTAGCGGAACTGTAATTCATTCTGCTTGGTGCTCAGAAATCTCCTGTGAAACATTGTTAGGGATTCTCCTATCCACCAAAAAACAGTACAGTAAAGCAGCTTTCTGCTTTCAGAGGCTTCGCTCTGGACTCAGACTAAAGGTTGATATCTGCCTACCCAACTGTGAGTCCCAGTCTTTTGGGATGTGGATTCAGAGATAGGCGGACATGAGACGTGTCATTCCTTTAAGTTTAGAATGTAGAATTAATGTGTTAGCCCAGTGACCAGCTGTGATCTTCCATTGAACCCAATGCTCATTCAGATGTGGATTATTTTGGGGAGACACAAGGAAATATTTTGTTTGGTTTTAGTTAAATACATATGTGATTGATTAATTATGTCATTTTTCAAATTGGTGAGAAACTGCCTGTGCATCCTTTGCTTGGTACAGTGCTGTAGACAGCTACAGTTCTTTCACGTGCAGTTCTTCAAGTGATATTTTACTAGATTAAGGCAATGTCAATGGAGAAATCTTCAAGGCAACAGTTGAGAATCAGCACCGTGCTCTGCCTGTGGTCTGCTTAAATCTGAAGCATCAAGAAAGGGTAGTCTGCCTTCCTAGGGCGCTCACAATTGGATCCCTGGAATAGCTAAATTCATATCACACAGCTCTGGGAGCTTTCTGCTCTCAGGGAGCCAATATCTGGTGCCTGTGTTGAAGCTTTATTTCGGCGTGCATTCAGCTGGGATGGGTAAGCCCCGTCTGCATCTTGCAGAGCTAATGTCAGAACTCTTTCAGGGAGAACTATGCTTGTCTTTTCTACCTGACACTGTCTTTGCAAACGCTCATGGTTTAGATGGGAGGTTGCACGCCACGCTGAGTCCTTTATTTGTCAGGTATGGATTAGGATCTCTTGCCAACAAGTAGTGCTGGTGGTGAGCTGTTCTGGCCTAGAGGCCATCCTCTTCAGTAACTGCAGAAACCCAGTGCAAGACTCACTTGCTCTGGTGCAGAATGGGGTAGATTTGGAAAATGCCTGGTGGTGTAAGGTGGTAGGAGCCACTGGGGCATGCTTGGCCTGACAAACAGGATTGTGCTAGAGTGTGAGGCCAGAGAAGACATTAACTGAGATTCGAAAGGCGATTATGTGGGTGTTAGCACACATCTCTGCAAAATATTACAAGCTCTTGCAGGTGTTGCCTTTAGGGTAAGGCTGCTGCAGGGAGCCATCAGATACTCCTAACTGAAACTCCCACAGCCAAAGAGCATTTGTAGGAGAGGTCTGCTCTGAAATTGAAGGGTGAGGAAAGAAAGCACTAGATACATCTAGACTGCCTCTGTGCACTTCTTCGAATGTGCACGTTTCGTGCCTTATTAAAAGATCTTTGGTCACTCCCCTATTGCTAAATCTCGTGGGTTTCAGTTATCAGAAAACACTGTCTCTGGTTGCACAGGGAATGAATTTCAAAGTCCTTAACCCAAGAAAGACAGGTTCCCAGACCCATACTTATCTGTGCTAAGGAAGGAGGTGGTCATCTGAAGGATAAGTTATCTCCTTCAGTTGTGTGGAGAAAACGTGACCCCAGGGCTCTGGTCTGATGTAAAAGCTAACAAGGGAGGAGAGGTCTTGCTTTGTTATGGGCATGAGAAAGGGCTGTGATTGTATTCACCAGTCAGGTGCTAGGTCATCATCATGGAAAAATCCACAGTGGGAGCATAGAACTTCATCAGAGGTAAATGATGACTTGGCTGCTGGGTCTTTCTTTTCGCTTTTTACTTATGGTTTGGTCAATGGGAATGAAATGTGTTAGATGTACCTGGTCCAGAACTGGTGGGCAGCAGAAGCCCCAGAACACATTTCTGCTTAACCCCTTTATGTATCACTTTTGGCACGCTCCTCTGTGCTGCTCTCCCATTTCCTCACCAGGCCAAAAGGGTTGTGGAGCCAAACATTTCCACTTGTTTGTTCCAGCGATTTCTCACTGGTAGAGAAATGAGAAGGTAGGGGAGGCAGAAGAGACCTGCTGACTTCTCTCAACCCAGATAATCCAAACTGCTGAGGAGAGGAACACACTGTTTTGCAAATTGGCCTGTCTCATCGGCGGGAAGCAGAGCCCTTACATTTTGAAGGACGCCACTGCCAAGTGTGTTAGTTCCTGAAACCTCCCATCTGGTTGCATCTATTGAGAGAGCCCTCTAAAGACTGCTGCTGTCTGTCCATCTTGAGGTGATGTCAGGACGAACGGAGGGGAGCATGCCTTTACCGGTTGTGGCAGGAACTCTTCTGTGTGGAATCAAAAAGATTTTTTTTTTTTTTTTCTCAGCCAGGTTTAGGATTACTTTTGAACGCTTTTGGGGTTTTTTTTAAAGCCAAATTCTTTAATCGCAGGTGAGGACATAATTTTGACCGGATGCCAGTTCTTCATAACTAACACTACAACTTCTTTAGGAATGAAAGTATGTTGTCCCATACCTTCTTCAAACTCATTAATCTTTGCTGATTTTTTTTCCAAAGCTTGCCCTCTGCCCACTCACACAGCTAAAAGATAGACAGCTCATTTGCCAAGTAAATGACACTCTCAGTACTTCAGAGTACGTGTCTGTTTTGACTTAGGTTTTGGCTTTGCAGTGACTTTCATGCAAGCCCTAGACACATTTTTAAGCAGACTCATTAACAGGCGGTACTAGAAGAGGAATTTGGAGGTTTGGAACTCAGTGAGATTTTTTTTTTTTTGCTTGTTGTCGGTACAATGAAGGATTCGGTGCTTGTTCAAAGCTGCCCAGCTCCACTTTTTGAAAAGTTTAGCAGCCCAAACCCTCACATCTTTTGAAGTGACTTGTGTTCCCAAGTCACAAAGTTATTTTCGAAAATCCTATGCAGCTGCCCTTTGTAAAGAGGTGAGCTTGAGAAAATGTGAGTAGCAGCATGTAGCTGAATGCCACTTTTTATACCCCACGTATCAGTGTGCAGGCAACTTACAGCTGAGGCTCTTGCTGGTCACAATCACCTGCCAGTAGCCCTGCAGGGCTTACCCAGCTGCAATGACATCCAGAGATCAGGAGGAAGGTAGTAGCAACGGGAAGCTATGGGTAGATGCTTCAGGCTGAAGATTATTGACCAGTGACTCTGCCTACTGCTACCTCAGGAGGTCCCTCGTTTGATGAGCCAGACTGGCCTTCAACATCAGCAATGCTGCAGCTTTACTGCTTGCATAGAATGTGGTGTATTTTGTGAGGTGTCTGCAGTGGCTTGTAACTTCCCTTGCCCTCTCTGTCAAATCTCGGAAGCCTCATCTGCACCCTGGCAGGGAGAGAAAAACAGCTTTCTTCCCACCAGCTTCCAAACTGCAACATGAGTAGCACTTAAAAAAACCCTCCAAAACCAGAGATAATACAGGCAAGGGGAAGAGATGGATGGAAAACTAGGAAAAAACCAACCCTCCAGTATTAGTCACTTGTAAGTGGAGAAGATTGCAAGCAGACTGTAGACTTCTTGACAAAGGGGAGCGGGATGGAAGGCGGCTGGTTTACAACAGATACCTCCTTCCTGTGCATGAAAGGAAGCATTCAATTGCCTTGTGGTGAAATGCTTTTGGCTCTCAGCTGGGGTGGAGCAGGCTGTGAAGACACCCACACCCAGACGCCCGGGGCTTGCTGTGCACAAGTGTAGAACGATAAGACACCTCCTGAATACAGAAGTCTCGACCCTGCCAAGAGCGCGTGTGAACTTCAAAATCCATCCGTTTGACGTCACTCTGTACCTCGCAGGGTGTGGGGAAGGAGGGGAGGGGACCGCTCTTTCCTGTAAGCCGTGGAGGGACTCCAAATGGGAGTGATGATTGAATGCAACCAGGACTGATTTCGGAGTGTTACTTATACATCTGGGGCCTGAGGAGGGGTGGTGCTCCCAGACCCTAACCTAGCCCTACAGGCCATGGAGAAAGAGCAGTTTCTGCCCACTGTATCTGACAGCATGCATGTTAGGTTATTGCTCTCACTTCTGGAAGAGCCTCCCTGTGTTGCCTGTACAGAAGACTTCCCTATAACTGGGTACCAAATGCCTCCTGCTCCCTTAAGGTCATCCGGGCTGCCCCATGGGTATCTTGTAAGAAAATTTGCAGACTGCAGTCTTATTTTCTAATCAAGCTGTTTTGTATCCACCCAGTACATACACCTCTTACGAGCTGGTTGTGGAAGGCAGGCACTGGTTGGCACAGAGGAGTTTGGAAAATACTCGTTGGATTGACAAGGGCTGTTGTTTTTTTTTTTCCTCAGAATACTCTCTTACAACAACCTAAGCAGGCTGGATGAGGGAAGCTTGGCAGACCTCGGGGGACTGCATGTACTACGACTGAGCCACAATTCCATCAATCATATTGCAGAAGGTGCCTTCAAGGGACTCAAAAACCTACGTGTCCTGTAAGTAGCACCCAGCTTTTGTCAGCTAACACCTGTCTTACCTCCACAGTTTGTGTTCTGCCAAACTGTTCTGCTTTGAAGTTGCTTTGGGTGCCTTCACCCTCAGCGTCAAACTCTCCTACACGTTGCTCGGTTGTTTTCAGCAGCTGTTGCATTTACCCTACTATTCAACTTCAGTGAACTTGTATGTATTAATTAAGAGTAATTAGGAGAATTGCAGTTGGACTGCTTAGTGTTGTACGGTGATTTCAGAGTAGAGGGCTCCAGAGTAAATTTATAGGAACATAGGACAGGATCCTGAATCTAGGTCAATTGAGCAAAAATCCCTGAGGTTTCAGTCCTTCAGCTAATAGTAGTATTTTTCTTGCCATCCTATTGACTTTCATTCACATTCTTAGAAAAGGACAGTTTCTGTTGGGCCATTCTGCACTCGGGAGGAGTAGGGAATGATTCCTTCCGGTGACACAGCTGGAAATTTGAATATCCTCTTAAATGTGCTATTGAGCATTTTTGTGTACTGTTACTTCTTTTTTTTGATTGAATAAGAAATGTAAAATCCTGGGTGAAGATGGTGTTGAAAAAAAAAAAAAAAGATGGCAAAACAAATCCAGAGGTTGGGCTGGGGATCTGATTATACCAGAAGTGTGACAATACGTGAAGCTTCACCCAATCTTGGATCCAACCATGGGAGCAGGAAGCTGCTTATGGGTACCATGAAAATAACCAGAAGTTTGTCTCTTAAATAGAAAATTGGGCTCACTTGGGTCATGAAATGTTCTGTTGCTCTAATTTTCATGGTAACCTCTAAACAACAAAAAAGTTGCCATGCTATCAAGAGAAAATTTTCATGTGCATTAATATCGAATCGCAAAATGATCCATCCAGTGGTGGCTATGGCCATTTACTGGAGACTTTTATTTTAAAGTCACTGACACAACATAATACCTGGAATTGTCATGCAGGAAATGAGCTTGCCACCGAGAAGATAGTAATTTCTAAGATTTTTAGGGCTCATAGAGTCCATTGGATGGATCAATCTGACCTCCTCTGGGATGCCAGCTCTGGAATTGCACCATTATACACTGTTAAGCCCAAGAGCTGTGTTAGGTTGAGGTACATCTAGGTTTGCCTTAGAAACATCAGAAGATGGGAATCCGTTTCTTTAAAATGTCCATTCCTACAGCTGTGTTGCCTCTTGTCTCCCTTATTCATACCTGCAGAGCTGCTGGCTGCTCTTCTCTCTCCAGAGGCTGTGGGCTCAGCACCTTCATCTGGCACACCACAAAGTTCTCACAGCCTGTGTTGTAGCACTGTCCAAGCTCCCAGGCTGGTTGAGTTCAGCAGGCTGATTTAATTCTTCCTTCAAAGAAAAAAAAATCAAACCTTGATACTTTTCTTCTTCTTCAGAAGCCCATTGTGGCCTGAGTAATTAAAAGGAAATGGGAACAGAGAGAGCTCCCCTCTTTACAGTACTTTTTGCATCTTACTCTTTCCTTTATTTTGAAGTTCACAGTGAAGGAAGTGACTGGAAAGTGAGTTTGGGTTTTGTTTGCTTTTTTTCTTTTTCTTTTTTTTTTTTTTTTTAAACTTAAGCCAAAGCCTTTCAGCCACTGGGCATTCAGAAGGGGACTTCTCTGAGGCAGCTGTCAAGACCGGAACTAAAGGTTTCCAAAGAAAAGTGGAGGGGAAGGGGAGCTGGTAGTTCTCTTTGCCCTACAGTGAATGTGAAGCCTCTTTTATGTCTAGGGCCAAGGGGGGAGGAGGAGAAGGGAGTGTGTGAGCGAGCTCTAATTTAATAAAGAGAAAGGCCTATTGGGTCCTGCACCTGGTGAAAAAGACCCGAGCATGCTTTAATTATGGCCTATTGTTGGGGAGCCTTTGGTGGGTGTGAAACTGCTGAAATGTGGAGCTATTCAAATAGAGGTCAGGCCCAGAGACCTCGGAGCACAATGATTAACAAGGCTTCGAGCATTCAAGCTCAGCCAGCCAGAAAGAATAGGAAATTGGCAACAGGGGCTGGGAGAGGAGTTTGAATACAAAGAGAGCTAGGCCAAAATACCCCACTCTTTTTTCCCTCTCTCACTATTTTCACTCATTTGTTAAAAAGGTTTTTATTCCTCCTTTCTAACAGTAAACCTTTGAGTTGCCTCTGGATGAACAAGCAATACCATTTTCTTTTCCTTTTTCAAGAAAACACAATGTGTGGCAGTCAATTAATAAAAGTGTGTGTCAGAGAGCTCCTACAGGCTGTTCCCACGTGTCCGTCTTTGCCATGGGAAAGCGTTTGCTGGTCCAAAGACTGGTAGCCCGTGGTGGAACCCAAGAGGAGAAATGCCTGAGGAGGGTTTTGCCCTTAAAAAACAAACAGAACAACAGCCATTGGCTTGGCAACCACAGGCTAAATGTAGAAACTTAGCTCCAGGAGGATATATTTGCTCCTGCCCCACACAGATAGCGCTGAAATCGTCAGCACATCAAAGCGTCTCTCCTGGACTTATCTCTTATGCCACCACAGCATTATGTGCGCCCACACCCCGCAGGGATGTTGAGTTTTTATGCATCCCTTTGGCATAGACCTACCCACAGATCACCCTGACATCCGCTGTGATGCTGGCTAAGGCAAGGATTCCTCAGGGACATCGGATTCGGGTCTCACGCTGAAGCCAGCTGAGAAACAGAAATTGTGGCTTTTGGCCATCTCCTTTCACATTTTTAGTTCACACACCAAAGCCGAGAAACAAGCAAAGGCTGTAGCCACCTTAGGTACTGAGAGCAAAAGTTTCAGCCCCATCTCGGCTGAGGAAAACCACGCCAATATTGAAACTGTCCAATTTTTTAAATTTCTGTTCTCTTCTGTTGGGTTATTATGTATTTGTGCTGCATAGCCCAGAAGCTACACTATGATGCTTATGTTTGGAATGTTGCAAAATGCAGGCGGCTGTGTTTTGGAAATATCTATCTTTTTTTTGGTCTTTATATATTTAAACTGGAAACATTCTGATAATAATCTTCAAAAGGTGCGAAAGGAGTACCTGAGGGTTCAAGGGGTTATCTGGATGGTTTAGGTTGCCTTGTTGTTGGTTTTTGCTAGGTTTTAAATCAGTGATGTAACAAAACCAACAACCCTTTTTTTTTTTTCCTGTCTTTTTACTTAACATTAGAAATGATAAATTTCTGTCTGTGTTGATGGGTATTCATTGCTAGCTGGAATTAAAGCTAGGAGGGAAGGATTTTTAAAGACTGTTTAAACAGCTTTTGTGGATCTCTGTGTTTGTTCTGTGTGCTTGTTTTTCTTCAGACCTCTTTGACTCTTGTAATTGATGGTCAATTTGAAAGCCAAAAGAAGCTAACTCTGAAAAAGGAATTCTTACTCTTTTTTTTCTAAAAAAAAAAAAAAAAAAAAAAAGTGGTTATACAGAGTTAGGCTTCTGTAGTGATGATAGTGCTTTCCTTTGTTGAACTTTGAAGTTCATTGCCAGAAAAAAATGCAGCTTCATATAAAATACACCAAATCATCTTCCGAAGGTATAGTTATAGACAAAGACATGTATACCTTGGAATAGCCGAAGTTCTCTTAATTCATGATAATAGCATTTAAGGAGAGTTATTTTCTTGCAATTTAGTTTTGGGACTTTATTTTCTTTTTCCGCCTTTTGTTTGGATGCACAGAACTAGAAAAGGACTGAAACCAACCTGTTAAAAAGTAGCTATCTGCTGCTGTCTGAGAAACAGAGTGTTTCAGCTAGGAAAAAGCGAGGGCTTTTTTTTGGAATGAGCCATCTCAGCATGGGTCAGTGCAGGAAGAGTGATTAGTGCTGCTTTGCTGCCCGGATTGGCTTTTTCTGATAACTGTCAGGAGAAAATGGGAAGCTCTTCATGTGGCATTCTCAAACTTTCTTCTGTTTGTTTTTAACGATGAGCCTAGGACTAAGACACCGATTATGAGCTCTCTCATGTCCTCTCTCTAGGGAACTGGACCACAATGACATCTCAGGCACAATAGAAGATACCAACGGAGCCTTTACAGGCCTAGAAAACCTAAGCAAGCTGTGAGTATCCCTGGGTTTGAAGTGCTGCAAAGCAGTTGTGTGGTGTGACTGTGTGGGGGCGGGTCTCTCTGACTTAGCCTTCCTCCCTTTGGAACAAGATAAAAATCTACAGAAAATCTGAGATGTAGTAGTTTTGCAGGCTTGCTGCAAGAGTGCAAATGTGGTTATCAAGCACTTGTGTTTCTAAGCAGATATGAAGTGATTATAGTCCTTTTAAAGCGAAGAACAGGAGGTGCCACATGGTATAGTTCAGAGACACAGGAGAGAGAAACTTGTTCTCATCTGTAAGATTCAGCACAACTGTTCTTTGCTTCCAAAAGCAAACAGCAACAAAAAAGACCCCTTGCAATCTTCAGTGTAGCACTGATTGATGCAGCAAATAACAATAAACAGAAGAGAAAAATCACCCCATTTCCTGTTACAACAGAGGATTGAAACAGGATTCGTTTCTGTGGGATACTCTGTCTGAGAGTGATCTTTTGGGCTTGCTTCCATGTGCAGCAACAATAAAAGGCACTATGGGGCACAGGCTCTTAAAGAGATAAAAAGAAACCTAAGGCAAGCATGCGCCTTGCAAATGTTTATAGCTTGCTTCGCCTTTGCAAGTATTTTCACATTGCTCTGTGCTTGTTCGTATTCCATTTGAAATCAGCTATATAAATCAGCCCTGTCAGAGAAGTCTCTGATGGCTTGTGACAAATCAAGAGTCTTTCTAATCATTACCTCTTGCTTTTGTTTAAGTTCTCAGCACCCCCCCATCACGCTGTCTCTGATGCTGAGATGGCACAGCCAGAGGTGCAGTAAAAGTACCTCGATGGATAGCAGATGGCTAGAATGAATCCTGGCAGGCGGTATATTGTCACGATCTCATTAGAGACTCCTGGGGGAGTGGGAAGAGCCATGCAGGATTCGTGGGGATGTAATGCTTAGATGGAGAAGAAAAATATCGAAGTCACAAACATAGAGGGCATTTGGTCATTGTTGAGGGGAGTCACTGGATCCAAGAAGAGGGGAGTCACTGGATCCAGGAAGAGGGGAACCAAGTTTTAGCTGCAAGGGAAGTGAGGCAGAAGGCAGAGGAGGACTTAAGGGCTGGGGGAGTGAGGCAGGGAAGTGGAAGTGTGGGAGAGAGGGGCTGGTAGGAATCGCTGTGCACGTGGAGTTGGGAAACCTTCCCACAAGTTGCTAGAGAAAAGGCAGAGGAGCAGATGTGGTGAGTGGGAGAGTCCTTGGCTGCTGTTGCTAAAGTTTTGGTTTGTCTGAAGAAACCAGTGAAACCATGTGAGCGACTAAAAGGGTAGTGGGAACAGAGGCTTTGTCCAGAGGGAGTTGCAGGCTGTAGGATTGTGAGTCTGTAGTGCTGCTTTGACAAGGGAGAGAAGGTGGAGGATAGGAGCAGAGAGAGCGAGCTGTCCTGGTGGGACATCCACTGTAGGGCGTTCCTCCAACATGGCCATTGGCACGGGAGCAAAAGTGGAGTCTCAGATGATTGGGGTATGTTAGAAATGCTGGGTGCAGATAACAGGAGAGATGTTAAAAAGCCAGAGGAGACAGCGTTGAGGGAAAGAGTTCAGCAAAAGGATTGACTCAGCAACCAAGAGAAATGAGCACTGATGAGTTGTGGAGTTCAGGCAGAGGCCAGGAGGTATGGCAAGGAGCAAGAGGAGAAAGGAAGGGGGCAGAGGCAGCCTGCGGGGTTGTGCGGGTTGTGTGTTAGGAGCTCTGGGCAGAGCAGCTGTCGCTCCCCTGTGAAATAGCCATGTCCTGATCTAATGTTTATCATCTGGCACAAGAACTGCTTCAGAAGGTGTCTGGTTTTGTCTGCCATTAGCAAAGGATGCAACAGGGGCTTGCACAAGTCTGAAGAAGCCAGGTTTGCATCTTTTTTCACATCGTTGACCTCTGTCTTCCATTGCACGTGGACTTGGGCCAGTTCTGGCTCTGGTTGAATGCAGGGAAGGGCACGTGCCCGTGGTTTGTGGGGAGAATTGCAGAGAATTTTGTAGCCTGGAAGAGCATGTGGATCAGGTTGGTCTTGGGTAAGCAGGAGTGGTTAGATTACCTAATAAAGCAAACCTGCTGTTGGACAGACAGATTGCTGGGATTGTTCATCGTCAGCCAGAGCGTAAGGCTAGAAAAACCCTCGGAATATGAGATTATTTCATTGCATTTCTTGAGGCATTTTGGGGACACTTGGGAGTGATCAGTTTTAAAGGGATCTGCTCTGGTCTGTTTTAGCTCATCAGCACATAAATCCCAAACTTGTGATTTTGTCTAAGGCTGAAGTGAGCATCCTTCTTGCTGGCAGGATTTTTTCGTAAATAAAATCAAATATCAGCCTTTACAGCAAACATTTCACTGTGTGATTTAGGGCTTGTGTTTAAACCGTCAACCGGCTTTAAATGCATTAGCATACAAAAATAAATGGGCACTTCAGAGGAGACCTTCCAATGAATTAATAATCACCTCAGCTCTGTGGAGATTGCCTTAAAAGCTGTTCCCCTTTGATCTGGCACAGATTAGCCTCTGAAAGGATTTAGCACAGAGAGGGTTGTTCGCTGAAATGAAGGTGTTAAACTGAGACGTGGGGAGACCAGTCACTTTAGCCTTCTCTGAATTATAGATGAAGCTCTCCAGGATGGAGAGCAGGCCTAAATTAAAATGTTGCTTCAAGAAAGAGGGAGTCGAGAAGCACCGAGGCATAAAAAGCATCAGTGGAATCACCAGGGAACAAGGAGTTTCCTAATTATTCAAGCTGCTAAATGTAACCGGTTTTTTGATGGCTCACTCAGTCACTGAGATCTTCCTGCAGGTGCAAAACTGGCTGGAGGAGAAAATGCTGCTTTCTAATGAATTGCATGCCTAGCGTGTAATTACACTTATGCAATCACCGGGAGAGCATGCTTGCGCCTAGCTCTGCCGGCAGTGGAGGAGCGTCTCTGGACTGCAGCAGGCAGGCTAATTGTGGAGCTGCATACCGCCGCGTTTGCATTCCAGCGTGCCACAGCCCTTTGAAGGGGGCCGCTGGGTTCAAACCATTTCGGAATTGGAGAAGTGGTTAGTTGAGATTTGAAAGGCGTAATGATTTTAATGAGTTTGCTGCGGCATGGTGTTACTATGACTGTGTTATGTATTTCTAATGTATATAGCCATAAAATTGTATGCTCCTATACAAGTGGTGTATACATTGTGTATTCACATCCCCAGATGTACTGCTTATCTCTGCACAGAGAAGTAAACATATAACCAGTATCTCCAATTTTCAAAGTCTAAGATCCATTTTAAATAGAAATCTCCAGTTATCAAACCTGAGCTCAGCGTAACACCCTCGTTTAGGAATAGGGCTCCACAAATTAGTGTGTATGGATGCAGCCATATGACCAGAGTTTGCATATAATAAATTATTTACTGTATTAATCATTCTAATGGATTTTTCAAAGCCTTCATTAATACAACATCCCTTTTACCAAATGATGGTACACGTGATCGCACACATCCTTTGGTGCTCAGGGTATTTCACCCAGAGCAAAAAGCCACACGCGCTCTCTTGCAACAGGACCTCTGATGCCCAGGGTTTGGTGCTCTAGCAAGGAGGTCAGGAAAGCTCACTGCAGACATTTAGAACGATAATGTCGATAAAGCAGGTTGCGGATATCTGGAGCCTTTAATCAGTCACCAACGTGCCTACAATAGCTGTCTTTATTCTTGCCTCAAGTCAAATAATTAACAAAGGGACACAGCTCTGAAAATTCAGCTGTGGTTTTGTACCAAGTTATTTCTGCCCGTAAGAAAGGGCTTTAAGTGTGTGTCTCACTACGGAGGCTGGAAGGGGCTTTGCCTGAAAGCGAAGCTTTTGGTTGTGTTTTGCTCTGGAATGGTAAGATTTGTGATTCTGGGGCCACAGACCTTTTGTACGGAACTAGGAGTAACTGGCTTGCCTCGCTACTGGAGATTTAGAGTGGTGGCTCCTCTGGCAACAGCACTGTCAGGGAGATTGATTTTGTGAGGACCTACTCGGGGTCATAGTGGTGCCCAGTGGCAGGCACCCAAATTCCCTCCAAAGACAGCAGGCTGCAAGGACAGACTGTGATACAGTCTTGGTCCTCCCTGCCATAACAGTCAGCATGTTGAGACCCATTTTTCCTTTCTACCCAGTATAGCATCCACTGCTTTCATCCACACAGAAACTGGGCTTTCTGGGTGCCTCTGTTGAGACTTCAGATTATCCTGACATTTGAAGGGTGCTTTGTGGAAAACCCTAACGAGCTCCTGCAAATGTATTTGCTCATGCAATGGCCACACATATTCCGTATTGTACCCCGGCCTCCTTTCCCCAGTCCGTAGCAAGCAGTGGGACCATCATGGGTTTAGGGCCTTTCTAGGGGGCAAATATAGGTTACACCCTATATTGAAGGAACAATCTTGAAGGAAAACTCAATCAAATGCAGCACCGTATGTGCCGGTTTTTTGCCTGAGGTGTTAGTGATAACCTGCATTGGACAGCACGTGAAGCAGGTGGTGATAAAAGATGCACCTGGAAGATAAACCTTAGACAGAGAGAACCTGGGGAAGGAAAGCATTTCCTAATTAATGACGTTGGTTGATGTTTTATTAAAACAGTTGAGGAGACTATCCATTTTGCACGAACCCTGCCCCTGACCAGTCACTGCAGGTCAATATTTGTAGAGAACTGTTACTTCGCAGATGGCAGCTGGGCTGTGATCTCTCCAGCTGGCTGATGCCTGCTGAGAGTCCTCTTGCTGCTGCGTGGCACTGTCTGCTGATTCGGAGGAATGCTCTCCAGTCTCAGACGTAAGCAAGCGTGCTCCTTAGCTCTGTACGTTACCTTTTCACTTCTTCCTTTTGCCCCTTGAAATTACCACTCAGCTATTATTTATTGCGTTATATTACTTTGCTGTTGTATTTATAATAAGCCAAGGAAGGAAGTCAGCAGTCACTTCAGTTAGCTGCTGTGTAAACGTGCAGCCAAGAGACGGCCCTCAGCCCTTGCGTGTGGATGTCCATTCAGGCCAAGCAGCAGTGAATAAATTACCACTCTTTTACTATCTGGGAAGAAATCAGAAATGAAAAGTGTTGCAGGGAGAGACCAAAATCTTGTTAAACTGTCATTGCACTTAATCCTGTCCACAGCTAGCCTGCAAAGAATAGAGGGGATCTTCTGTTACTCAGCAAACTGGTTTCCAAGCACTGGAGCAAACCTGCCTTTTTACGTGATACGGCACATTCCCTTTTGTGCTGTCATCACTATTAAATTCGAATACAGATAAAAGGATTTAATTTCAGGAGCGGGAAAGCGAGTGTACTTCAGCCCTCTTAATCTCTGTGCAGTTCAGATTTCCCAGGACTTGCACTGAGCGCGTATATCAGATAAAGCCACACTAATTGTGTTCCTTCTTTTTCTGCCCCCCTCTCCCCATTTTCTTTCTGTTTATCTGGCACTGGATGTTTGGAAACTGCAGAACTCTGTTTGGAAACAAGATCAAGTCGGTGGCCAAGAAAGCGTTCTCAGGGTTGGAGGCCCTGGAGCACCTGTGAGTAACCCACCATGCCGCAGAGTTTGGGAAGGGGGGTCTGCCAAAAGTAGCTGCTTGAGAGATCTGCTAGCAATTTAATAGCGTCTTTGTAAACTGAGAAGCCAGTCCATTTGTGGGGGCCACCTGCTTCCTTCTCATTATAAGTCCGCCTCAACTTTGGCCTTTTTTTGTGCCAGGAACAAAGTTATAGAACATATGGCGAATCTGCATGCTCTTAATTTTTTGATTTGTTCTTGGATAAATATTGCCTTGACTTGCACATTGCTTCTTTGCAGGCTGTTAGCAACGAAAATATGTGATTTCAGATGTTAGCCCTCTGTCCTCCTCCCTTGCCTCAACTTCCTCCTACATCTAGGCTCTGGCAGTGACACATGTTGCAAATGACTGCTTACGATGCAGGCACCGAACATCCCCATTCAGCACAACTGCCTTAGAGCGATTTGCAAGAAGTAAATTTTGGCTGCCACTATGTAATTTTTTTTCTGTGTCCCAAGGTTGATGACTCCAGCAGTGATTCATGAATAACTTCCTTTCTGAATTAAGACAAGTTAAAGTACATGCGATTTTGCTCTAGATGTTTTATTGGCTGTTGATTGTATGAAATGTTATGACCATTGAGAGCATACTGAAGGGTTAGGACTGCCTGACTGTTGGGGTACTTTCCCAGATAAAGATTCCCTTATTAATGTTCTACTGAGATTTTCCTCTGTAAGCAGTGCTTGTCTGTCTGATGCTTCACTTAGTAAACTTAAGCCCTAAATCTGACACTATGCTTTTTCAGAGGACAAGTGAATTTTTTGATTAGCAGTAGTTGTGAGGGAAGCTTTTAAGAATACCTTCTTTTGGAAACATTGCAATGTTTTTCGAACACAGTAGTATCCTCTCAAAGTCACTTTTAAATAACTTCTCAGATGCCGTTTAGTGCAAGTATTTGCTTTCTTTATGTTTGCTGAAGGTCTAGCCTGGGATACGACATTCCTGACTATCTTTGGTTGTTGAGGGGGCTGAGGAATTTCTGAGCTATGGATGATGGAGGTAGCTGAGACTGAGAAAGTGTAGTGAGAAGATGGGGTATGGAATGACTTAGTTATTTATTCCCATAATTTTTGTTGGCTGACTATTGTTCAGCAATACTTACTTACTCAATATTAAAGTGTTCTGTGGAAAACCATTTCTATGAGCTGTAAGTGCATATGGCCTTAACAAGGAGCTACCAAATCACATGGTACTGGAGTCATTGCTTATATATGGAGAGACTTTGTCACAGCCATAGCATTCCTTTTGTTCACATTGCCTTTGGTTGTGTCCTGTAGGAACCTTGGGGATAACGCCATCCGCTCAATTCAAGCAGATGCATTTGCTAAGATGAAGAGCCTGCGGCAGCTGTAAGTAATTGGACTGTACACACCATTAAGGAAGCAGGGATCCTTCTTGCCCTGGACGTGACAAGTAGCACGTTGTTTCCAATGGGGTGTTATCCACGTTACTACTCACTTATTTCCCCCCCTACCTCTGTCCTCCTCTGCAAGGTATTTTTACATATGAGTAGTGGTCACGGGAACATCTTGCATTTAATAGTGAGTGAAATTAGATCATTGGAACAGGTTCTTCCAGCATGTTTGCATCTGTGCAATTATTCATCTCCGCTCAGGAAGTCCAGCCCTGGTCCTCTGTTAGGCATCTCTCCTTCTCATGCTGCCCCCGATTTAATTCCCAGTGGTCCATCTGCTCCTTTGCTGTACCTATGTTTAGGGTCCACATACAGTACTGACATTTCAGTGATAAGCACCATTTGAACTGGATCCACTTGTCATCCAGCCTGCTGGTGTAAAAATACGGATGTGTTATCAGAGCTGCTGCTTGTGCTCCAGGCTGGGGCTCTGCACTGTTATCAGACACTTGTTTCCAGTCTTGCCTGGTTTCCTTTTCTTCTCCATAAATATTTAATCCACTGTCAAGTGCATTGCTACACTCTGGAGTAGTGCAGTGTCTGTGGAACAAGAAATCAGTTATTTGGTATTTGGGCAGATTCAGATTCTTCTTCCTGATGTTGGAAATGGGAATTGGATGGTCACTGTTAGCAACGATATTTAATACCAGTGACTGGGGAATGAATAAGATAAATGTTGCATGTCTGTTGTTTGTTTAACCACCTTATCTTTTGGACTGGCTCTTGAAACAAAAGTGAGGCAAAAGACTGATCTTACTAGAGAAGAGCTTGTGAGATCCCAGATACTGTGAAGGAACCTTTATACCATGGAGAATGTGGCTTTCAGATAGGGGACGTATACATGCAGAATGCATTGTACTGAAGTCTTAAATACTAAGGGTCTGTCTGACCTGTCCCAGTTAGCCAGCAGTGTTTATGCCATCACGTATATTAAGGGCTACACATCTTTCTAGGACAGCAAAGTGGACAGCTTTGGAAAGTCAGATCCCTATGTCCCTCATTCCCTCCCTCTCTAGTTAATTTCTTTCTTTTCCCCTTTTTTGGCTAGTTTCAGACCTCAGGATTTCCCGAGGTTATGAGGTAGAAAAACGGGAGGAGATTCACATTTTCTTACAACACAGAGCTGGAGTTGGGATTCTGCTGTGCTTTTGATATCCTGCTCTTACACAACTTTGCAGTATTGCAAGACAGGACTTCTCTGTCTGGGGCCATTTTCGCAGTCTCTGAGGCATCTGCACATTCTATTTGAGAGATCAGACTGGGTTTTCCTAGGACCTTGGACCAAACCAGACCAAAGTCTGAATTCCCTGTTAGTGTAAACTTGCAGTTCTTCACTTGCCTCAGAGCTATGCCTAGCCACAATTTGGCCCAGAATAATTAAAAAAAAATAAAATAAAATCCCGAGGCTCTCCTTTTATTTGCCACTTTGTCACAGTTCCTTTCTTAACAGAAGGTGCTGTTAAGTAAGTTGGGATGCTGAGAAATGTTTTTTGTGTTTTGCTTTCCAAACCAGACACTGTCTGTATTGGGTTTACACAAATGTCTTTGGTCATTTATCTTCCACTGCTTCTGTTAATCAATAAACACAACATCAGCTACATCTCTTATCCCTGGTGATGCTGGTGTGCAAACGTGTACCTTACAGAACGCAGGCAGGGGCCTCTCCACTTACTCCTCTGGTGTTGGCCACTGAGGGAACTAAAGGTCTTACAGTGCGGACTTGACATCCTCTCACTGTTTGGTAATTAAGTCCTGAATTCAGTCTCCACCAAAGATGCTCAAACCACAGAGGGAGAGCAGGAGCATGCGTGGTAATTAGATATGAGAAATGGGAGCAAGATGGGCTGTACTGTTGACTTGTGCCTCTGCTGCGTATCTCCTTTGTAGATGATCTGCCTCAGTTTCTCTTGCTTAAGCCAGGGATGGCATTGCTTGTCTGTTCCCTGGGATCACTCTGGGAGTTGGTTAATAAATACAAGGTGCTGAGGAGTGTCACTGCAGTACAGGAGTGTGTTGCTCTATGTGGAGATGAAATGCTGTTTAAATGTGTTATGTATTTAACATCATTAGTACCTTGAGAACAACCCTGCAGTCCTTTTTTTCCTTCCACGCATGCTGGGGGGGAGGGATGAGTATGTCTAACATGAAAGGGCTGTGAGTTTTCCAGCGTTCTCTCCACACGAGACTCTCAGCAGGCTTGTGTTGGTTTTGTTTCCCTGCAGCCACATAAACAGCGACAGCTTCCTCTGCGATTGCCAGCTGAAATGGTTGCCCCAGTGGTTAGTTGAGAAAGAGCTGCAATCCTTTGTGGTGGCCACCTGCGCCCATCCTGAGTCACTAAAAAGCAAGAGCATTTTTGCCATCCTGCCAGAAAGTTTTGTGTGTGGTAAGTCTTGCCTGTGTGTTTTGAGGTTGTATGAAGGGTAGGACTCACTTGGGAAACACTTTCTTTGACTACTAGCATGCTATTATGAGAGGGTTTCTGTTTTGTTTTGTTATTCAGTCGGATCAAAGGAAGCCCAAGCCTGCATTTTAAAAATTTGTCATTGGCTACAATTTATTTCCCATCAAAACCACACAGCACATTGCTTGCATCTAGTATATTCCTTACAGGGCTCCCTGAGTATTAAATCAAAAGGGACTAACACTTGTTCCAGTTCCAAATGAGACTGTACAGACACTTCCCTGGTACTCTTGGTTTGATACTATCAAGGCTGCAGCTATAATTTTTTTCGCTCTGCAGTGTTCTGAGCTTCTTCATCTTTTTTTCCCCTCTTAGAAATAACGAAGGGTTAAAAAAGAAAGGCAGAGGAGAATCTCTCCCTCACAGCTCCTTTTTGGGAAGGGCCAGTAAGGCATTACACATGAACCAAACAATGGCTAACAGTTGCATTATGATCTTTTTTTCTCCTACGGTTGTTTTTTCTTCTACACAGTACCGACTGCTGTTTTGGCACTCAAACACTGCAGTTGACTCTGCACCTGAGCTGTGGTTCCAAACAGCTTTACTTTATACGCAGCACACACAAACATCTGCTACCTCTCTTGTAAGAAGAAATGTAAATGATGAGAGGAGGCCAAAGAGATGCTGCTCATGCATCCAGTTTTGGTGCAAAATAAAGGCCTGGTTTGGTGAGCCAGACCCTGTGGTGTGGAGCCAACCAGTGTGGATCCTGTGAGGAGCAGCACATGGCTGTTTGATGAAGGAAGAATGAACTTTTGAAAACACTGTTTAACTAAGTTGAATGCATGACTTGCGTTGAATACGGAACAAAAGCTTTGTTCCGCCTGCTGTCCCATGTCCCTCTTGATCCCAGAGTGGTAGAGCTCTGCCTAGGTGGCCTCTGAGCGGGTCTGTGAGGCTTGCTGTGTTCAGCTGGAAGAAGAGATCATGAAGGCTCCATCCCTGCAGCAACATCACAAAGCGAAGACAGCTTTGCTCCTCCGGTGCCTGCCAAGTCCTCCAGGCACTAGTACTCCTGGTTCCAGAACCCTGGCTGTTTAATTAAACCTTAGTCAAATATTAAATTACACCATTTGTAGAAATCTAATAAATGAATCTGCTTGGAACC